TCGGCCTGGTTTACTTTTTGGTACTCTTTTTCTTTACATCCGGGTTTGTCTCAATGGGTTTACCGGGTGGGGTTTTAATGAGGTCAAAGGCTATACCACCACACGGCCGCGGTTCAGTACGTGCTTGGTTTACGGGTGAGGAGTTCAAGAGTCATTTTCGCTGGAGCAGCTCAAGGGTCAGTCAAAGCTAGGCGAAGAGTCAGTCCAAGTTTTTAGTCAAACTCATTTATTTTCTTTGTAATTTCCTATGCATAACCCTTGGTCTGATCCGCCCCTATATAAAGGGCTGAACCCTTCACTTTTCTTAATAAAATTTTGAGACTTTTCACCTTTGTTCTTTTGAGAACTTTGTTGATTCTCAGGTGGTTAGCCTAGAATTATTTTCGGTTTATCAAGTTCAATCCATAGAACTTGACGCAGCCTTTGTCTGCAAAGTTTAAAGTTTTCGTTTGTCGTAATCGGGGCTTACGGATTTTCTTTTACCGACGAGTTCTTTTTATCTTTGTTCCACCCCCTTGTTTATCACTATTCTTCGTGAGTTTGGGCCTAAGCATTTTCGGGAGTCTTCTCTCACGCCTTAGCATCTCCTCCAAGAGTCGTTCGGATCCAAGTGTGTGTGAAGTCCTTAGGGAGATCGTATCAAGTGGTATCAGAGCCACACACTTGAAGAATTCGGTATTATCTTTCCTTTGTCTTTTTAACTTCCGCCATATCTCATCTTTTCTTTTGTAATTTTCCAGATCTATTTTTTTTTTTTTAAAAAAGAAGAAAGAAAATCTATAAAAAAAAAAACGAAAATCAGTCAAAAAAAAAAGAAGAAGAAAGATCTGTGAACTCAAAATTATTTTCTTTCTATCTTTTCTTTTTCTTCTTCATACTCGCTTGATCTTCCAATTTGGTTTTGGGTCTACATCGGTCTCGATTTAGTTCTTTTAGAATCGAGGAGAGTCTCTTGTGTGTGTGAGAATATTAAGAGTGCTGAGAGAAACACTGAGTGAAACTTCAAGTGAGAAATTTTAATACTAACGTGTTTATTCTTTTTTTTCGAGGTACCAACTTTTATGTCATCGGGTCCTTATTCAGACTCAGGTGGAGAGTGGAACTACTACACCTTTCGTGACGGGAACCACATTCGTTGGATCAATCCAGAAGAAATGGATGCTAAACTTAACCAAATCACCGAGCTGATGGAACGTATAAACCAGCGAATGGATCAGCTGGATATGCATCCACGGTAATCCGACAGAGAACGAAGTAATGGCCAAAACCGTGACGAACCAGACCATCTGAGGAGAGATCGCAACCAGGAAGAAGTCTTAGACAACCCGTTCTACGCAGATGGTCATACATATGGAGGAAGCCGTACCAGACCGCGATACCACCGAGGCGTTCGTCGGGATCGGACTGACCGACGCGGGCCGAATCACGGGTCAGACCGCAGTCGAGAGGAACAGTACCATATGGGCGATACAACGTGGCCTGAGAACGTGAACCAGTGGACCAAGAGCGACCCATTGAGACATGGGATGAAATGGTGTGTCTAATGCAACGACGGTTTGTTCTGAGCTACTACAGCCGGAAATTACACAACAAACTTCGGCGATTGACCTAAGGCACTAAAAACATTGAGGATTACTACCAATAGAAGGAGCGGCTGATGCTCAAGGCTGACATGGAAGAACCAGAAGATGCTACTATGGTGCGGTTCCTCAGCGGTATGAACCGAGATGTGCAGGATCGTATGGAGATGGAGGCCTACCGGAGCTTTTCCGATATGTACCATAAGGCCATACTTGTGGAACAGCAGTTAAGGAGGAAGAGCACTGCCCGGTATGGATCCAGCTCACGGCCCAACGACAAAACGAGCTATCCTTCCTGATCCGATGCCAAGACTAAGACCGAATCTAAGCTGACTTCATCCACAGCCGATTACAAAGGCAAGACCGAGGCTACACCGGTCAGGAACAGAGACATTGAGTGTTTCAAGTGCAGAGGCAAAGGGCACTATGCTAATAAGTGTCCGAACCAGCGGGCCATGCTACTTCTTGATTCCGGAGAGATCATCACCGACGATGAAGAGGACACCGGACCGGTCTATGACGACAAGGAGGAACACGCAGCTGAGGGTGAGTTGCTTGTGTCCAGGCGTGTTCTTATTTCTCAGGAACCAGTTAGAGACGAGGAGCAGCGGGAGAACCTGTTCCATACCCGATGCATGGTCATGGGTAAGGTTTGTAGTTTGGTGATCGATGGTGGGAGTTGTACCAATGTGGCGAGCCAAACCATGGTTGAGAAGCTGGGCCTAGAGACCGTGAAGCACCCACAGCCTTACAACTTGCGGTGGTTGAACAATCAAAGACAACTCAAGGTGACTAAGCAGGTATCAGTTCCTTTTTCTATTAGCCGCTATGAAGACGATGTACTATGCGACGTGTTGCCTATGGAAGCCGGCCATATTTTGCTTGGTAGGCCGTGGCAGTTTGATCAGAAGACGGTACATGACGGCTACACTAACAAGCACACCTTTGAGCATAAAGGCCGGAAGATCACAGTTGCTCCTTTGTCACCACGGAAAGTCTACATTGATCAGCTCAAACTTGAGCAAAACAGCAAAGGTAAAAACGTTCTGAGTGACCCCTCAAACTCTACTTCCACTAAAAATGAGAGTGAGGGAATGAGAAAAACCCAGAAAATGACCTTTGAGAGTGAACCGAGAGGTCAAATACTTCTTTATTTGTGAGGCCGAGTGAGATCAAGCATGCTATGCTTGTGAGACAGCCTTTTGTCTTACTTGTTTTTAAAGAAGCTTTGGCTAGCACTACTGACCCTAAGCCGGCACTCCCGAGCAGCATTTCTTCCGTTTTGCAGGACTTTGCCGATGTATTTCCGGAGGACGACCCAGGCGGCTTACCACCGATCCGAGGGATCGAACAACAGATCGATTTCGTGCCTGGTGCCTTACTGCCAAACCGTCCTGCTTACCGAACCAATCCGGTCGAGACTAAGGAGTTGCAACGGCAAGTCGACGAGCGTATGGCCAAGGAGAGTATGAGCCCATGTGCTGTACCTGTGTTGCTGGTGCCAAAGAAAGATAGAACCTGGAGGATGTGCGTGGATTCCAGAGCCATCAACAATATAACAGTTAAGTATCGCCATCCCATTCCGAGGTTAGATGATATGTTAGACGAATTGCATGGGTCTTGCATATTTTCTATGATTGATTTGAAAAGTGGATATCACCAGATCCGAATGAAGGAAGGTAATGAGGGGAAAACGGCTTTCAAAACTAAGCACGGTCTTTATGAGTGGCTAGTCATGCCCTTTGGTCTTACCAATGCACCTAGTACTTTCATGCGCTTAATGAACCATGTCCTTAGGTCGTTTATAGGCGTTTTCATTGTAGTTTACTTCGATGA